GCGTCCAATCTGGGGATCGTGTCATCGTACAGTCACAGGAACTGACGCAAGGAACCGCGACTAGACGCAGTGACTATACTAGTTCCTTAATCGATTTACTAACTTCCCCACATGCCCCATCTGCCCCTCAGTTCCTCTATTCAGACAGGCCTACGTGCACTTGGCACGTACACCGAACTCAATCTCAAGAACGAGAACCTTGAAAAGGTTCAAGACATCAGACATTCAAGGGGAATTCCTGGAGCATCGCCCTTTTTGCATCAAGTGGATGGGAATTCCCGATTACCATAAAACTTCATTACTCAAGCCACACTCTGTTTTCATGACTTGTAGGCTTACAGAGAAAAGATCTGATCATTTTATAAATATTTATATATAATTATTTCTTGATTGATATTCAGAAAATTAAATAAGTGTTGGTTAGAAAGAGTTTCGAGGAGGTGTATTTTTGTAATACTTTAGTTGATAGGATAACACATTTTAAAAAGGGAAAATCATTTAAACAATCTTATAATATTTTATACATATTTTTATTACCCTAAAGTTTTAGGAAAGTATATAATATTAGGGTTACTTTCTTGTATCCTTCAGTTGAAAGGATAAACCATTCGAATGGAAAAAACATATGAACAATCTCCTGTTATTTTATAAGTGTTGTTCACTTATACACCAATTGTTGGGAAGGTCAAGTGCTTTGCCAATACAAACACTTCAAGCATTGGCCAAAAAAGCGAGACCCTATCGTGTCATCGTCATCTCATTAGCGCTGTCTGGCTGTCATCGCCACCTAATTGGTGACGAGCCAGTGGACACCTAACGAGCACTCAATTTGGCCCATTTTTGTGGGCCTAGTTAATTGAAGGTTGCCCCAGAGGGGCTGGACCGGGATTACATCAAACCATTGGTTGCCACTCATTGGAAAAGTTGAAAACTCGTCCAGCTCTGAAAACCAAGACCATGCCAAAAATCATTTTTTTTTCCTCACAATATGCTTCCGTTTATTTAGATCAGTTCGTTCTAGCAGCTCTATGGTTTTCATTGGGTTAGGGTCTGAACATTACATGTTTTTTATTATTGCCTTTTTATTAGTTTCCATAATCAAGTACTAAGTACAAATTAATGTTTCGTAGGGAAGGAAACAAACTACCAAGGATTAAGATTAGCTATTTAGTTAGTATAACATATGTTGTATGTGCCTTCATCGCTCTGTTTCCAACAACTTAAATAAGAGGCTTGTCCATCGGGTCAAATCAAATGAATATTCTAGAAGGTTTTCTAGAATTTTACGCAAAGAACTTGGATCTCTCTTTTATAATCGATGACCTTAAAACGTGTTATTCCACTTTCATTTAGATTCTGCTGTGGACAAAGTTCACATTTTCATTCATTCCAGAACTCTTAAATATTTAGCTTAGTTACGTTCGTTATACTTGTATCTATTTTTAGCTAATTTTAATTAATATTTTTCTGTTTTCAAGTGGGAGATAAACAAATGATCGGTGGTGAGGCAACCCAAATCCCTTTGGGGGTAAACAATACTGCCCTTGCCTGAACTCTGACTGTGATATCTAAAGATTTATGCGAAATATATGAGATTTCTTTTCGAGCATTTCCCCCAATTTGGCTCGGCAAAACAACCATTTTTGGTCAGCGCTAGGCCTATGAATTTGCATAATATTTCAATGTGCCTTGCCGATGGGCTTGTTTATGGGTATGCTGGCAGATCAGGTCCGCCTCCGGTTGGCCAAAGGGCCTTGATCGCCACACGAGATTCGTGTGGGTGGTCGCATGGCGGTGTCTTCTCTCAAGATTGCTGTCTCTCTTTCCCCGGGGAAATCAACTAAATACCCGGCACAACTGCTCGTTAAACTTTTAATTACGCACGGGAAAAGGTTGCAGCGGTCGTAAAGCAATCAAGATAGCGGTCATTTAATGACGTGACCGGGCGACAATTTCCAATTCCTAAGCGCTGACCAGCAAACCGTTAATAACCTTGCCGCGGATCCGGAGTTGGTGACGAAAACCACAGACGAGTAACCCGAAATTTGCGTAACTTTTGCGAATGGAAACAGAAAGCTTCGTCTCCGGCACTCCGATTTCCCCGGAGACCCCGTAAATCCCTACCAGATCCACGGTTAATTGGAAGCCGATGCGATGCCATCGAAGACCTATACCTACACCGATATGCAGCCTCTCTTTTGGAACTGGTCTCTAAAGATCCCAATCTATGGGTATGGGTTTGAGTGCCTATGTCTATGCAATTGCCGGATTTTGAAAGGGCACCTTCATGTGTATTTTGTAACCTGTGCGTGCGTTCGTTGGTATTTTCGGGTTTTCTCGGGCCAAATTTCGGTGGTCCATAGGTTCCATCATTTGCTTTTGATGTCCGGCCTAGCTGTTTGATTTATTTGTGCTTTTCGGCCTGGACGTTTGGCTTTGAAATTGATTTCTTCGATCGCGGAGAAAAGAAACCGCTTTGTGGTTCCATTTTTATTGTCCCGCCAGCGGCTTTTGCAATGTTAAAAACCCGTTTTAAAAATTCGTCAAAGACAATGCGAAGAAAAAAAAAGAGCGCTAAAACATACAAAACATATTTAGTTCAAATGTCTGGTGACTTGCACAAAGTTTTGAATAAGTGAGACATCGGTGGTATAGGAAAGAGCATTCACAGCGGTATCTGTGTATTGCCATATTTGTATATTTGCTAGTTCATGCTGCCGTTGTGGATCCGCAATAGCGGAGCTAAAGCGACTGGTTTCGGCGGCTTCAACTTCACGTGCTGCTCCCCCGATTATGGATGCATTCTGCAAATCATTTTCATTTTCCTCGGCTTCAACGGATAGTTGCGAAAACCCTTGACGCGAGCTCAGCTGTCTGTTCAAAAATTGCAGTTACACGTGCAAAAATAGGGCCAAGACAACTTACATCATTTATCAGATCACTTTCATCTTGCTAAATATTCACCCTAATATCTCTATCAACTAATTAATATTCAAAAAAAGCCATAAAATTATTTGATTAAAACAAATTTTAACTGCCTTGGAAATCATATACATATTTGATCTTATCAAATATTTATCAGTTAAGTTTTTATACTCTAGTCGCTAAAAGCTCTTCCTACCAAAGTCAAAGGCAAGTGTGGAAGTCATAGAGTTTTCGGGGTTGTTCAAGACATTGGAAGCGGATTCTGTGATATTTCTAAGATTAGATTTTTCGTAAAATCATTTAATTTTCAACGTGTAATCCCTACCAGTCTGCAGCGGCACCCGCTCAGTCAGTCATTTATTCAGACATTCAGTTTATCAGTTGTTCGTGGAACTGACTAAAACTCCGAGTTGCAGTCACCGATTTGACATTTGTCCCCCTTTGTCAGTGCTGGTCGGTGGACAGTGGACAACAGAAAAAGACAGGGCTTGCGCAACTTTGGGGCCAGTTTTTTTCTCGCCGCCCCGCAGATAATTTTTAAGTGCATACCATTTCCGGAGCCCGGATCTCGCGGGCTGCATTTCAGAGCACTTGTCAGCGTAATTTGCAATTCGGAGCTAATGACATAGACCTTTGAGTTTCCGAGTTCAAAATTTGCATAGCATTCGCTATTGGCTTGGTAATGGGAATATGAGCTTAAAGCTATTTATTTGCTTAAATATTGCGAATGCCGAAGATGGGGGATTGCCTGACGAACTCGTCCAGCTTGGACTGGAACAGCTCCGAGGTGACCACTGTGCCGGGTGTCCACAGTGGATCCCGCACCACGAACTCCACCCACACCTTGGCGTACATCTGCTGCAGCAGCTCCTTTACGTTGATTGCCGTCGTGTCCGTGTTGAGAACGAATCTGTTGAAAAAGAATAGATTTTTGTAAAGATTCATATATCTTAAGTATTTAAAATTAAGGTTAAACGAAGAATGCCCCTTAAATAGAGTCAATGATATTTCAGTTTTTCTATATTTGGAGAACGGCAAATGATATGGGGTTTTGATGGGAAATTAAATTAAGCAACTCAATGAAACCGGATACTTAACGTGGAACATTTCATAATCTAATTGCGTTTAGACAAGTTGTGACGTCACACAGTATTAAATTACAACTTTTCAGTTAATTCCGTTCGGGTTTTTGTATGGATTACAGAGAGTGCAGTTAGTTTTTTAAACGGATTACCAATTTACATTAAAATTATTTAAAGCTTTGAGACTTTTAAATATGATGTATGAATGCAGGTGAAGTCGAGTTTAACATCATTTGCAAAAGTATAACGCACTGGTACTGGTACTGATAAGATCACTATAGATGCATACAGTTGTAGATGCTCTAATTCCTATTTATCCTATTAGTTTATTAAATAAACTCACTTCAATCCCGAGGGAGTTTCCAGATAATGTAGGGCGTAACGATTGGTCTTATAGTAGAGGAATCCTTCCCGCGGATCATGGGGCGAAATCTTGCTCACAAAGGACTTGATTGAGAAGAGCATGCCGTAGGTTAGTTTAGCTTCCTGAGAATAAACAGATTTAATAAATAAAAATCGTAGAATTCCTTATTTATAACTCACCTCTTCTCGGGTGATTCCCGACTTTTTCGTGCGATTCCATTCTGCGTAGTGGAGTAGCGTTCCGAACTTATCAAATATGTACAGATTGAAGATGGTCATCTTGTTGAAAGTATTCGGAATGGCATTAGCCTTGAATGGTGGGTTTTATTTATAATTTACGGAATGCTGCTTATTCTAAATCCCTATGCAAAACAAAAACATACGAATGGAGCTGCCAACTTCGTCCATATGGCTACTAGAAAATACCAAAACAGCTGTTTGAATGCGTTAGTCGATTTGGTGGATAAGTGCTGCCCATAAAACGTTAGCTTTTTATTATTTTAAATCTTAAAATGATTTTTCACAAGTACGACTTTAATCAGATGCAATTACTTATAAAGAAATATATTTAAAAATTTGTATTTGGTACCCAAAACATCAGTTTTAATCGCCAAACTTATTCAGGTAATACCATATCTTTATTTATGAATTTAAAGATTTCGTCTTACAAAAAGTATTACAAAATATTTTTACAAAATGCCTTTGCCGTGTTTATTTTGTTTAGGAAACACAGGAATTTAGATAAACATAGAAATTGGGCTCAGTTTTTTTCCTTCTTTTTCTGCTCGCTTAATTTGTCTTTTGATTTGACAAAACAGCACCCCTTTTTCTTTTTTTCCTCTTGCCCGGGTATCTCCACAACAAAGGGATACTCCCTTGGATTGTTCACTTGTTCACGGCTGGATTCTTGTTTCTGCGTTTTGTCTGGTGCCTTATCCTTTACTATATCTATTTTCGGCTTTGTTTTGACAGTGCTCTCTGAGGAGCTTTCACTTGACCGTTCATCGGTGTCATCGCAACTATCTATTGTCTTGGGATACTCGTCGAATTGGATAGTCTTTCTTGATTCAGTGCTGGTTTGTGAAGCGCTTTTGGAGAATATATTAATTTGAATGGCCTTTATAGGGTGATTTTATGCTCTTACTTGTCAGCCCCACTTTGAAATGTGGACTTTTTGCGAATACTGCTTCTGTCCATTCTAAAGTATCGGATTTAGCAGGCGATGTGGTTGGGCTCTGTACCGATGATCGTCATCCTTGCCCTGGTTACCTATTTAAACATAAATATTATACGTTTGTGAGTGATAAATCCTCCTGTTTACTTACTTGATTTGGATTTCCTTTGGGTTTCACGTCTGTCGCCTTGGCGATGACTTGCAATGAAGTTATCCTGTTTGGTGAGTAGAGCTCCTTCGAAGGTGGGATTATTTGAGATCTGACGGAATACAGCTGGACCACTGGCCTGCAAACGGCGGGCTTGGTACTCCCGGTTCTCTATCTTCAACCGCTCGTAGTGATCCTCCGGAAATTGCCGCTTAGTCACTCCGGAATGGCCATTGTTGCTCCGTCGCTGCTTCGATTGCTCCTCCGGTCGTCGACCTTGGGCTGGATGGGATTTATCCGAAGGACGACGGGCCTTAGACTCGCCACCACCTCCGCCATCTCTATGACCTTGAGATGAACGTCGTGATTCACCACCTCCTCGTGGATGTGAACTCTTTCGGGTTTCTTTAACTTCCCCACTGGTTATATTGGGTAATCGTCGAGAATCATTGGTATTGCTGGTTACTCCTTGACCTCGTCGGGATTCCTTCATTTCACCACTAGTAATGTTTGGTAATTTTCGCGATTCATTTGTGTCGCTGGTTATTTTTTGAGCCCTTCGAGTCTCCATAGCTTCTCGACTGTTTAAATTATGCTGCTTTTTGGATTCGTTGGAACCTCTAGTTTCTTTGGGGATTCTCCTTTCTTCTCCACTTGTTATATTGGGAAGCCGTTTAAGGTGCTCACTGGTCATGGCGGGAAGTCTTTTGGTGTCCACCACCCCACTGGTGATATTCGGGATTCGCAGGACATTCGACATCCGCTTGGACTCACTGCCTCCACCACTTCCACTGGCTCTTTTGGAGGAGTGGTGCTCCCTTTCGGGTTCGGGATTAACAGATCGCCAGAAAGGACGCTCCTGGCGATGTCTTCCCGGGTCTTGCGACTCCCGATGAGATGCGTGAGCTCGTCCCCGAGATCCTCGCCTGTTTTCCTCTTCCTTGCGTTGGCGGTCTGTTTGCAGGCTGGTTGTCCTCATGTTTTTCGTTGGTAACATAGGTAGTAGCGTTGGCATTTGGAAAGCATTTGGCGGGGTTAACATGCCACTGGTGTACTGCTGCACTTTTGGACTAATGAAGTACTCTCCTAGAAAGATATGTTTTATTTTAGATAATTTCAATTACTATATTTTAAGCTAAACTTACCAGGACTCTCTTCAGTGTCGGAGGTAAAAGGCGGCAAGTTGGCAGAGGTGCGTACATTCCGGAACATCTTCATACCCCTGTGACCAAATTGACTGATTTCCGGGAAGTAGGTGTCCCACTGCGAGTTTTTCCGTTAAATGGGCTTAAAATAAATATATCATTCTTTACCAAGTAGAATATTCCGTAGGCCAGCAAAATGGCCAACAGCAAGACAGCCGTGAACTTGGTGAACTGCATTAGGACGAACAGGACCACGCCTGCGAGGACCTCCGTGTGTGCCACTCCGAGGAACTCGAGGCAATGCCGGATTTCGCAGATCCTCATGGTCACCAGGTAGTCCACGACGGAGTTCAGGGAATCGCAGGCGCATCTGATGGCGTCCGCCATGGTTCAAGTAGAGGAGTCTGTCCGGGTCCCAGTGAAGGCATTTCTCCCTAGCACAGGGTTTCGAAAGGTTAAAATGCGGCAGCACTTTACTGCCAAGGCAAAGGCAATGGGATATTGTTTTTTTTGCAATTTATATTTAGGAAAAATTTTTAGGCTCCCAAAATCAAATAACAGATTATTTCCAATTGTAGAAATAATATCAAATGGTTCTTAATATAAAGAAAGATAAGTTATTATATTTTGTATTATTTATTAGTTTTATTGCTCTGCATTGACTACACTAAATAAATGTACAATTAATAATAATCATTGACCATTTTATACTCTTTCAGCCATCTGACTTTGAATTTTCCCGTTTTTTTAAGGAATTATATTTTCTTATTTTTGAAAATAGAGAGTATATTTTAGTATTTTTTAATGTTCAGTGGTCACACTATCAAACAGCTGATTTCTCAGCCGTGCTAATTTTGTTTTTATTTTTACAGGGCAACTTTCTTATCAGTAAAGTTTACTATTATAACTACGGTTTATCTGAGGTTATATATTAAGTAGATCTACCACTAACCCCTTCGCAGTTAAATGCTCAAGCGCACAATGGCGGAGTTCGACGTAAAAGCCGGCCTGCAGCACGTGTTGAAGCGGATTGATGAGGTGCTCCTGCAGCGTCCCAAGGTGGAATTATCCTGAATCGCCCCCATGTATGATCTCTTATATTTAAATTGTTATCTTTTTCTCAGGAAGTGCAAGCTGCAAAGCCCCTTCTCGTCGCAGTAAGCAAAACAAAACCAGCGGAGGCCGTAATCGAGGCCTACGAAGCTGGACAAAGAGACTTTGGCGAGAACTATGTGCAGGAACTGGAGGAGAAGAGCCGCCATCCGGACATCCTGGCCAAGTGTCCCGAAATCAGGTGGCACTTCATAGGTCACATGCAGAGCAACAAGATCAACAAGGTCAGCTTTGTTTATAAGTTTTAACCAAATAACTCAATCTATCTGGAGATGTCATTGAAGTCTGTAATAGATTGGTTCATTGGAATATGTAGAAACCTTTGCGAAGATTTAGTCCACAACGTTTTGAAGGCTCTAGAATCCAAAGTTTAAATATTCCAACTAAGGTATCTTCTAATTCCTTAATTGCATAGCAGCAAGATTAACAAAATCAACTCAGATTTGATTAACGATCTGTAACCACAAGGGAGGGTTATTTTGTTCTATTTTTTTTATCTAATCTAAGATTAGAAATCTGAAAACCTTCTTTTACTTCGAAAATTGGTTGTCTTCATAATCTCTACAAAGTATCCAAAGCTTATATAAAACTTACAACAACCGACAAATTTATTCCTTCTAATATGGTTCCTTCTTTACTCTTTTTACAGGTGCTGTCGGTGCCAAACCTGAGTATGATCCAAACAGTCGACAGCGAGAAGCTGGCTACCAAATTGGATGCAGCCTGGTCAAAAGTACAACCAGCTCCTGAGCAGCCGTTGCAGGTTCTCATTCAAATCAACACAAGTGCCGAGGACGGTGAGTTTGGAAACTCTAAACTAACAAATTAAATATACTTACTTCCTCTCCTTAAATTTTTTTAGTTAAAAGCGGAATCACAGCCAAGGATGCTACTGCGCTTTACCAGTTCATCAAGAGCAACCTAAAACATCTTAACCTGAGGGGCATAATGACTATTGGCGCTTTTGGCTTTGATTACAGCAATGGACCCAATCCGGATTTTGTATCGCTTATGCAAGTGCACCGATCCATCTGTGAGGCGCACTCTTTGGCTCCAGATTCGGTGCTCGTCTCCATGGGAATGTCCAACGACTTTGACAAGGCGGTAAGTCATAACCTGACTGGCCAAGATCTTTCTCTATAATCCGAACTATTATTTTAGATCGAGATGGGGAGCACAGTGGTTCGCGTTGGCACTTCTATTTTCGGCCATCGGGTAGCCAAGGCGTGAGGAGAGGTGCGCAGATGTGTTAGGAATGCGTTGCGGGCACTGAATACAGTTGATTCCCAATGACGTCCGACCTCCCGAGTACGCAGCCTCCAAGTTCGCTCATGTATCAGGTGGAACTGTGTATACCCAAACAGACTTACCCAGTAAATCGTTAAAGATGATTTGGCGTTTAAATTTAGAAAACCATGAGATAAACAAATGTTATGTGTAGGCTGTTATATTCCCTATTTGATTGTTAACCTCTCCATAAACAATGTTTCCAAAGTGTCAAAACCATAAATATTCCCAGATACTTGCGCACCTTGGAAAATTGAATACATTTGCCGCAGTTTTCATTAATTTGAACATTCCTTTGACTGTGTCTTTCTCGTTTTTTGCACTTTGTTCTATTTATAGTTTTTTGCATATATTCAATGCTACATTGCGTATTATATTGTGGGTAGTTTTCCTTGTATTCCTTCTTGTTTTGCTTGGCCATAGGCCAAAATGTCGCCTGGTATCGTGCCAATATTGCAGCGCCAAATGAGTTTTTGCAGAAAATCACTTTCAATGGAGCACGAAGAAGACTGCAGTCACTATTGATTTTCATTATGTCTGATCGATGAGTTATGAAGGCTTTCTCACACGAATCCCATCATTAATTGATATATTTTCCGTTAGCAATATATGCATTATACCTTTATTAATTATTGCACTAGAAAAGGGGGAATGAAAATGGATGACACACAACTTGGCAAAATGACGTCACATAAATATGTTTTCTTGGAATGTTTTGCTTATTATTAATCATTTAATTTTTTATTTTGGAGAACGCAAATAACCTAAAAGGAAAAACAACCAATTTCGGACAGTAAACATATATTTATGAATAAAATATGAATTTATATAAAAATAAATGTGTACTATATGGATTATATTTCGTAACAGTTCATAATAGATTTAAAATGTTTGTTAAAATTGACTTATTCTATTATTCTATTATTTGCATAATTCTCCCAATTTTAAACATATTTTAAAATATATATTTTATTTGGGATATGTATATATATTCATGCAGTAAGAAGGTTAATGTATCATGACGTGGTACAACAAAGTTTTGAAATTAAAATAGAAAAAAATAAAATCAAAAATCTCCGCATTGTTATGCAATGTCTATGGATTATCAGCATATAGATAAAGTCAGATGTTTATTCCACATTTGTGGCCAAAATAACTCTGGTTCAATATCGGGTTCGTTGGATATTTATGCGACACGAAATCCGTCCGATCTTTGTGTGTATACAGATCTATAGATTTGGAATTCTCGGCGCTCTTCATATTGCACAATGTACGGGGCATTTCGAAAACAGAAAAAGAAACGTAAAATAGGCAAGGCAAAACATCGAGTATATAGGCATGAATAGACTTATGTTATAAGTTGGATATGTATGTGCTGCTGCCAAGGGAAATGTAGGTGATTTCAGCGCAAGAGGACACCTTTGGGAGGGTGGCCTCTAGAAAAGTGATGGGCCGAGCAGAGCAAAATAAAAGAAAACAAAACAAAATCTGAACATGGGGAAATGTATCCACAACAGAGAGCCGAACCAATCCGAATCGCACCGAAATAAATTCCGAACATATGTATAGGCTTCTGCGCCAAAAGCCAAAGCCAAAAGCATTTTCTCTGCCTTTAAAATTAGATTTTTGATTAGAGCAGCGGCCGATGAGTAAACAACTCGGATACAGCTACACCATGGGCTATACCCCATGGCTATAGCTATATAGATATAGCCGCCACCACCCCGCCGATCGCCTGGGCGGACCTCGCCTTGCAGATACTAAAAAAGGCATCACGAATATTGCAGACACAGATACAGCGAATGGCACCCGAAAATTCCCGAAGATTGCCGAATCCCCGCCGAAGTGCCCCAATGGGTAGAAGAAGAAGAGCTCCTCCGAGCTCTTAAAACATCATTGTCTTGGCGATAAAATCAGCCAGAGATTCAGTGTGCTCTGACGGCTCGACTCGATTAGACAACACATCAAAGTTCAGCACCATGGTAAGGATACGTCCCGGAATATCAACCGAACTGAATACCGAACCGAACTGGACCTTCAGTGACTGGATATAAGCAGCAAGGATATTGACCGATCAGTGCAGTGAATCATTTGCATTCGAGAAACAAAAAGAAGATATGAATATGAAGTGAACATAACTCCATGGTGACCCCAATTCACCTTTTCATAGTGAGAATAGTGCAGAAAATTCTATAAATGGATCGATCCGAGTGTTACGCGTCAGTAACGTAATCCGATATCCGTGTCGGGGAGCGAGCGACACGGCGAAGAGCTTACGTAACATGCGAACGGGCTATTTTTAGCCAAGTGGAAAACTTTTCGCCCCAGATACATATTTTCTGGCCTATTCGAGAAAACTTCCTAATGGGCAACCTTTCCAATGGAAAACCTTCTTATGGATTACTTTCAATTTCAATTGATGACTTTTAAATGAAGAAACATCCTTCAAACTGGAGAATCTTCCATTACACATCCTAGAAATGAATATTGGATGATAGATCCATAAAAAGTATACATTTTCAATTCAGACTTTCCAAATGGAAACTTCCTGACTTTCTAAAAGTTCAAGATTATCCAAACAGGGACCATCTGACTGACCACCGACTCTGTAACCCTCGAATACCCCAACTCCTACTAATTTAACCCCTCTTTCTTCCCCCAGGCCGATGAGAAGAAGAAGGTTAAGAAGAAGAAGACCAAGGAAGAGGGTGGTACTTCCGAAACCGCTTCTGAGGCCGCATCCGAGGCAGCAACCCCGGCACCAGCCGCAACTCCTGCCCCGGCCGCATCCGCCACTGGTTCGAAGAGAGCGTCGGGCGGATCCCGCGGCTCCAGGAAGTCGAAGCGCGCTGGCTCCTCGGTCTTCTCTGTGTTCTCGCAGAAGCAGATCGCCGAGTTCAAGGAGGTGAGTGTTGGGCGCATCTATCAACCCACATCTATCATTCCATTCCACTCCACTCCGATCCCGAACCCATCCAATCACCCATTGTACAAGCATCTATCGCACTTGTCAAGGACCAAGTCACCAACCCACTCTTTCTTTCTATCTCTCTGTCTCTCTGTGCGGGATCGATTAGGCCTTCCAACTCATGGATGCCGACAAGGACGGTATTATTGGCAAGAACGATCTGCGCGCTGCCTTCGACTCCGTCGGCAAGATCGCCAACGACAAGGAGTTGGACGCTATGCTGGGCGAGGCCTCGGGTCCGATCAACTTCACCCAGTTGCTGACCCTGTTCGCCAACCGCATGGCCACCTCCGGTGCCAACGATGAAGACGAAGTTGTTATTGCTGCCTTCAAAACATTCGATAACGATGGTCTCATCGACGGTGACAAATTCCGCGAAATGCTCATGAACTTCGGTGACAAGTTCACCATGAAGGAGGTCGATGATGCCTACGATCAGATGGTGATCGACGACAAGAACCAGATCGATACCGCCGCCCTGATCGAGATGCTCACCGGCAAGGGTGAAGATGAGGAGGAGGAGGCCGCCTAAGGCACCCGAGATCACATCCTAACTTCTAACTCAGCATCCATCTTACAGCCAGAATCAGAACGTTAAATCAATCAGTCAAATCAGTAATAATAAACGTAATTAAAAGAAACGCTCGTTTACATATGTAGATTCTCAGTATCTTGTAATCTCTTTTTTGTTAACCACCACCACCAAGAACAACCAACACCACCAACAAGATCAGCAACATCCGATCACAACTGAAACTGAACTTCTTCAGCAACTTTTGGTAGCGATCAGAACCATTTACCATGTATCTGTCCATCATAGTTAGGGATACTTACGATCACGTTCACTGTCACGGCAAGAACTGACGCGTTAGTTTTCTAGTTGATTTACTGTTAAATTTTACACGTAAAATTTATAAAACAAATGCTATCTATTTTATTTAAAAACACCTATAAAATCAACAAAAAAACTTAAAAACAACAACCAAGCCGTGTCTATTTTAATCGCTGCCCGTTGAAGAATCCCAAAGAGAGATGAATACCAGATCGAGATCGAGGTCGAAATGATAATGAAAATGAGGATGTGATGATGTAGGGAGGACGAGGTCGAAGACGAAGACGAATATGAAGATGATGTTGATGTTGATGGGTAGCCAGGCTGGATTCGTTAGGCCCGGACCCACGAGTTGAATTTGAATATGAATATGAGTTTTTAAACGAGTTTTGTGAGTTTTGATGTTCTTTTTTCGTTCGTTAAATCTCGCAGGACCAGGAGAGAGAGAGGCAAACCTATAGCAAACTATTGTTAGGGACATTTAACTGAGAGCCAATTATTTATCCTTCTATAAACACAATATTTATCGTTATGCATATCTATCGTTCGTTATTCAGTTTCAATTTCAATATCAATTACGATTATCAGTTATGAGTTATCAATATTATTGCAAGTTATCGAGAGTTAGGCTAATAACAAAGAAACATTAAGTTCATTCACTCAAATTGTTTAATGCGAATTTACATAACTTAATCACCACCACTACCACAACTTTCTGCTTATGAACTATCAAAGCGTTATAAACCACCCAAAACAAAGAAAACAACAACCCAATATGATATCTGAAATATGAAGAAACGATCAAACAACCAACCCAGTGTTTCTAGTTAATGCGTTTCGAAGCTTCGAGGAGGATCCTCTTCCCCCCCAGGGTGGGGATGGGGGGGTTTGGATGATTTAGTTTGAATAAGGTACCCATAACCACTAGTACCTAGGCTGATCGGAAGAAGCCACACTTTATACCATGTATGTTACTTACACTCAACACTCAACACTCGACACGAGCACACACCACACACCAATCCATTTCAAAATGCAACATGCAACAAGTTGTTAAATGCGAATCGAATCTTTACTTCAGTATAAATTAAGCTATACACGGCAAAATGAAGAATTCTAAACAAATTATAACCCGGTCAGAAATATTAACAAAAAAAACTATCTACAAAAATAGTAAACAAGTAACTGTTTTTATACAACATAACTAGATGATGATACGATGACGAAGTCTTGGAATAAAGCATAAGCGAGTCGTCTTGAAAAAACAACTAATCCATTGCAGTTTGACTTTCTCAGGGGAGGGGGCTCTCGGGGGTATGGACCTCGCAATATCTGACTCAGCTGAGCCGTGCCGGAAACCAGTTACAGGTCAAAACAAAACCACCGATAAAACTGGGGAGCCAACAAAGCGGAGCGCAGTGGCAAACTCCCCACACTTGGCCAAGTCGATGGCCAAAGCCGAAACCTTCGGGGTACTAGTTTTCAGTTTTCAGTCGAGTTTCGAGGCGCACGCATGCGCAATACGATGTGAAAGTCAGCCACGATTGCCACATCCAATTGAAAATTACTTTTTGCAGTAATCTGGTTATTCCGGGAGGGAAAACCAGAACTATGACTCAAGTGGGACACCTTTTGTGGTTCACGGCAGCCTGCTGGATTACTTCATTTTTAAGTGGCGGTAAGTGCTGGGAATCGATCGCATTGTATGCTAATCTTGCGTGGCTGAAGAAATTGAAAGTATCTCAGGCTGTGTCTGCAACATCTCACCACGCACTTAAGTGCACAGGGAAAAATAATGACAAAAATTTGAGTTCTATCAGATAGATTTTTACCTATAAATTATTGTAACATTACGAGTTAAATGTAAACCAATGTAAATAGTTGTTTTATTGAACTTAAAATTTTTATTTACCAAATTGTAGATTCGCGTTTTTTTTATCAAAAGAGGAATACAATATTTAAAACCCGGAATTCAAAAAAAATATTTATATTAATTTATATTTAGGTGTTAATCTAATTTCTCTCTGTGTAGCCTTGTGATAACTCACCACACTCTCGATCAAACACTCTCACTCTTATTTTTCATCACTCAGCTGATGCACAGCATCTGATCGCATATATCTCACAAAGAGGTCTGCATGGAGAGATTACTTTCCGGCAAATGAATGCCACCAGGGTGGAAATCAAGGCTAGTCTAGAGGCCACTCTTCAGTATCCCGATCAAGTATGGAGTTGGGGAGTACGCCGATTCCCAGTGGATTACACTAATATCGATCCCGAAGATCGTTGCGAACTGAATCGCTTGGGTTCCCAAGTAGTAAGCTTCGATGAGGATCTGGAATACCTGGTGCTCCCTGGAAATGAAACTTCCACATGGGAGCGGAACATGCAGCTGATTGGAGATCGAGGAATCTGGGGCAAATCGTTGGTCCTTACGGAGATCAACTCCAATGCCAGGATTTGCGCCACCATCACCACCATCCAAAGTTCCGTAGAACATATGGCAGAGGCCCGTTTCAACACACCCGTAGCCGGATCCGTTCACTTCCGTTGGTTGGCTCCGGCGGAAGGAGCTGTTGGAGATACGTTGATTTACTCCGATCTGTACCATATCAGGGAACAACCACCGGCTTTGGAGGAGGATAAAAGTCAAGCGGCATCTTTCACCCAACACCACTGGAAGATCTATGTGACGGACATCTTTAAGCATGATCACCACCGTACCGAGGATAACTGCAACTTCCTGCAGCTGGTTTTCGATCCCCAAGGTGGTGGAGCAGGAAATGGCATTGGTGATCTAGATGCGCGTCTTGGAAGGATTGGGGTGGCCAAAAATTCTCTTCGTTCGCCACAGCGCAGTGTTTTTAGGGATGCTCAGCTGGCTCTGTTGCCTTCAGATCTCACCATTCCCCACAGGACCCTCTACTTGGTGCTTTTTGATAACCAGCATCCGGATTCGTATCTCGCTTGTACCAAGATTCGGCATGTCCAACCACTGACATACAAGTGAGAGGGATTTTAAATTCCATATATTCCATATTTATTTATTTTATTTTTAACCGCAGAACTTTCATCAACTCCGGCGGTGTCAAGGGGGAAGTAACCTTCATGCAGCGCTCCAAATTCGACCCCACTTTCCTCAATTTCACCTTGGGAGCACCACTTTCCCAGCATGTCAGTCGAAAGTTTGCCGAAGATGTGGCCGCCTTCCGGATACACAGTCTGCCACCAGTGCCACAAAGGATGGGTCACGAGGACTACTGTCTGACCACTGGAGACATGCATAATCCCCGCGAGACAAATGACAATATACCGCCTCCCGGTTATGGAACCCAGGAGCAGTATCCCTTGGGCGATCTCTCTGGGAAGCTGCAGGGTCGCAACAAGGGTTACTGGCATCAGTACGTTTTGCCCGGAACGAGTTCCGAGTTAAATGGCCTCTATTGGGATGTCTTCCTGCCCCTTCAAGGACGTCATAGCATTGATCAGAGGAGTTTGGTCATATACACATTCAATAGAACTGATGTCTCAAATATCACAAAAAGTATATGGGGCTGTTCTAGTTTGGGGCAATATCAGCGGAATGGGGTGTATCAGCAGGACATGGTTACGGCTCAGGTTAGTGGATGAATTAATACATTATTTTGTTAATCTATTTAACTTTTTATATCTAATGTTCAGGTTCTTTTCCGTTATCCTGTGGTGGGTCGTGTGATCTTCCGACAGCCGGCGGAGCAGCCTTGGCAGGACACCACTGTACTATTTGAGTACCTAATCCAGGCGGATGGATCCACTCAGAATACGACCTACGAACACCGCTGGGCAATCCACAGTAATGCGCCTGGGAAGGACTTTTACGATTGGCAGCAGCGCTGCATCTCCGCAGGACCCGTCTATAATCCCTTCCGAGTGGACTGGGGCAATCGTAGTGTGGATGACTTCTGCCAACCCAACTTGCCCTCGATGTGCCAAATGGGCGCCATGGATGCGAGGTCGGGCAGACTCACCATCGCCGGAGGCAGAAGGGTGGCCCAGAAAATTAGCAGGAGGATGTTTGTGGATGGAAATCTTCCGCTCTCTGGTCGGCATGGCATCCTGGGGAAATCCCTGGTCATCTATGAGGATAGTGGGCCAAAAGCCAGGGGCGAACGATTGGCCTGCTCCGCGGTGATTGGACACTTCCGGAGGAAAGTGGTGGCCAAGGAGTGGTACGCCAACGGAGATCCTTTGACTGTTAGTGGTCGGGTAGAGATCACCCAGCAATCGGAGTACGATGTCAGCAATGTGGAAGTGCAACTTAAGGGACTGCAAGATAACACTGGCTATCACATTCACAGGGTATTTATTCTATTACATAGACTCTTTAAATTAATCTTATTAAATTCAAATTTATTCCAGACTCCCGTGGAAGCCAATTTAGCCTTTCCCTGCGAGTCCTCCACTTTATATGGCCACTGGAATCCCTTCGACGTTAGTCCAAAGTCATCACCTCCTTCTAGAAGGGGCACCACTGACCAATACGAGATGGGAGATCTGAGTGGAAAATTCGGGGGTCTGGAAGGAGTCACCCAGTTCGAGGATGCTTACAATGACACGAATCTTCCTCTATTCGGGTACAACAGCATTATTGGGCGATCTGTTGTTATTCAGAAGAAACAGAAAAATGCAAGATGGGCCTGCAGGTAAGGAACCCTCTTCTTGTTAAGATGTTCACATATTTTAATCTCTAATTTTAGTACTTTGGAGCGTGGCTATAGTCCCAGCGAGGCCAGGGAACTCAGAGCCATCGCCTCATTCCATCATCCCACGGGCTATGCCTATGGTTACGTTAAGATGACGCAGCTGATCCACAATGATGGTAGCCAGTCCGAGACAGTGATCGAGGTGAAGTTACGGCATCCGGGAAAGAACGATCGGAACTCCACGAGGAACCACAATTGGCAGATCTTTGTTAATCCCGTGGGAGTGGATGCAGCCGTAAAGCCCACAAACACACGTTGTGTGGCTGGGGGATACGTTTGGAATCCCTACTATACACAGCTGGCAGATCCTTTAAATGTTAGTTATCTAATTATGGTGAAAGTATGTTCTTTATTCTAATAAGGATTTATTTTTGTAGCTGGATCTGTATGAGCAGGAATGCAGTCCCGATAATCCTCTGCGCTGCTACGTGGGCGATGTGGGCGCTCGTTTGGGAACTATAGGTAAGTGATAGTTTATTTGAACTCCATAAAAAATAAAGTCCCACCCAAAAGAATATTATACAATTTCATAACAAAATACTTATAAAATATATCTATAATTAGATCTTGGTGGTGAACGCGTAGTCCTAACCGACTCCAACTTTCCTTTGGAGGCACCTGTAGGAGCCATTGGACGATCCATTGTGATCTTTGGACCCGATCACTCCCACGAGCGATTTGCCTGTGCGAATATTGAGCCCGATCACAATGTCATTAAATACATAAACCTTCAAAAGCCACCTCGCTTCGTGGTGTAAGTATACCAATATTTATCTTTTATGTACCTTAACTAATTTTGAATTGATATTAATATATATATAGTGCCCAGTTTCTGGAGGAATTGCGATCCGTGATGGGAATCCCAGAGTGGATGTTGGATGTGGATGCCCGAAAGACCAAGGAACTGCATGGCGGCGCCTGCATCCAGATGATTATCCACTTCAAGGGCCCTCTGGCCCATCGCCTGGAGTTGGATATGTCCCGTTTGATAGCCGCCGGTAGATTGGATGCTCCCAGTTTGTTTATTCCAGGTTACGTGAACCAAAAGCGAAAGGCCACCATATCATATCGCACCTGCGGAGTTAGGGATACCAATGAGAAACGTAAGTGGTCTAGAATCCAAGATTTAATATAGAGTAACTTATTCTATCTATCCAACAGGCACCAAAAACTTCAGGGGCGGTTTTTACTCTACAAGCTCAGCTCCAACCGAACCAAAGCCTTTCTTTTTAGCTTTCGTAGTCATCGGCTTAGCCCTTAGGTTCCTGTAAATTGTATAGCATTTTATTATTATTAAAAATCTGTCAGTATATTTCTGTACTTAATACTCAAATCGAGTTTCAATATCATTGTAGTCATAGCTTCTAGATGTCTGTAAATTTGAGGGCTTATATTTTAGAAAAAATAATTTATTTATGCCTGTAAATACTCAATAAATAAATTTTTAAAAACTGTACAGTATTTATTATTGTAGTTCTCTTATTATTTTATATATATATTTCTTGGCTCCAAAATAGCTATACATGTGGTTTTCTTAAAGTTTTTGATTTCAAGATACGATATATAAAACACATGGTGCTCAGCATGGTGGTGGATTTACTTGGTCCACATAACTCAGAACTGACCTACATCTTGGGATTTCGAGCATATCTCACCACTCAGAGAGACCCACCACTTTGGATTTATTTCTGCGCATGAGTGTGCCCAATCGATTTTTCACTACATACATACATCCCTCGTTCAAACGACGCAGGCAGTCTTTGATGTTAGAGACCCCAGTGAAGACGCACATTTCCATTTAACTCCAGAATGCAGCTGATTCCCGTGGCGACCTTGCTGTGCCTGGCATTTGGCAGCTGCACTGCGTCCATAAGTGGACCGTTCATCTTGTGGGGCCACTCCAGGGTGTCTGACCTGCAGCCCCAGGCTTTGGTGGACTCGAGCAGCAGGGAACTCCCACTGACGCAACTCTTCACGGAGGCCAAGGCAATTGTGGTCTTTGTGCGGAACTCAACCAGTCGACTGGAGGGAACTAAGTATCCCAGATTCCAGAATCTGGTGAAGAGTGGAGCTTGGACTTACATGCCGCAAAGGAGTCTTGCAGCGGAGCCATTCGGTCTGAATGCCAACATTGAGGTTAGTTGTGAGCTATTAATAGGAAATAATTGCCAAGTCAATCAAATTTTGTTGAAGTTCATATCATTTATAGTAGAATAAAATGCTCGTGCATGTTATTAGGCAAACAAAATGATCTTAATCTTTTTATAAACACACAAAGTGATATGAGTTATTTATAGTTATTCTATCTATTTACTTATTACTAAGAATATTAATAAAACTGTTTGCTTGAATGATATTATAGGCTTTTTATTATTTTATTATTTTTTGTGGGGCTAATATTAATCCACTTTCATTTTTTAGGTGGTAAGCCTTTCGGGACACGGAGAAGAGGACGACGCGGAGATCTTGACGGTCTACAACGAAGCCTTGAACACCTACGGCCGAGGAGAAGTGCTGGGAATCCTGGCCAGCCGCGAGGAGGAGGCGCACTTCCTGGCCAAGCGAGAGGCTGCTGCCGCTGGCGAGGCAGAGGAGGAGAAACCCAAGGCACCGGAGGGTCCGGAGGAGACCGAGGCTAGTTTCATCTACGTGGCCGAGGGCAACAAGGCGGTGCTGAGTCTCAGTGAAGCATTGGAACTCCGGCTGACCAATGAGACCCTGAAGCTGGAGGAGCACATCAAGCAGATCACCTTCGACGATCAGCGAACCAAGGGATATGGTCGATTGAGCATCACCTTCATGTGCAACGGGGAGAAGTGTGCGCTGCGTTTTAAATTCACGCTGATCCGGGGATCCTGGACGTTGCGCAATGTGGAGGTGGAGTACAGGGAGCTAAAGAGTGTGCTGGTGGCGCGGGGAGATGAGTACACCCTGCCCTCGGCTCCACTGGGATTCTCGTATCGCTGCTCGGCGGAGAATCTAAAATTCATGAATCCCGCCCGGAATGAGACCATTCAGAGCCTGCTCATCAAGGATTACCAGGTGCAACCGTGGCTGAATGGACGTCAGGAGTATGGAGAGGTCTACGATTGCGTGGGATTCATTTCGGCCCCAATCCTGGCTGGACTCTTCGTGGTGACCCTGCTCCTTGGCATCCTGGGACTCGGAATCTCCGCCATGCTCAGCATGCACACGCCCAATCGATTCGAGAGTTCGCGCAGCAAGCAGTTGACCTTCACCATACAGGAGTAGATAGTCCATTGAGAACTGCATCTCTAATGACCCAACAGATCGCGGGGGAGCCATGTTTATCCAGATCACCTATGTGGCTTTCAAGCCCCTGGCCTTGCTCACCCTGGCCATCGAGCTCTTCCTCATCCATCTGCTATTCGTGTTGATCGTGCTTTACGTGTATGTGCTATGGTATTACTGAAATCAAGTCCGCAATTGATATGAACAATTTAAAATATATAAATCTGAAAGCCGAAGCAAGTGAAGTTTCTTTAAAAGTGGTTGAAATAAAGTGTTTAAAAATAAAACAGATTTGTCAAGAAGAATATTAAATATATCTGCCAAGTACTTTGAATACCGATAATTTTGTTTAAATAGTAATCCAACAATAAAATATTTAATGGGCTTTAAATACTGTTACAAACTACATAAAGAAATCGAAATTAAACTCCTAATAAAATAATCCGTAAAGGTAAATGATATTTGAAAATAATAAAGCATACTATCTCTTATATGTCTTGTAAACAGGAAAACAAAGTCGTTCAGTAATGGGAAGTGTTAGTAATAAAATATATTTATTTATTGGGGCCTCTAAAGCTTTCTATAGATATATCGGTTATTTACAAACGCGCCAGCCTCTCTCTTTGATCTCAAGCCAAAGTTCAGCCCACAGGAAAAAGTGAAAAGCGATGAAATTCTGCACAGACTGCCAAAAAAGGATGAGAGGAGTCTGGCTGGAAATTCTGGTTATCTTGGCGGCGGCTCACTTTTGTTTTTACCCATTTCTTTTCCCCCGATCAGCAGCTCACTTTCAATGGTCCCGCAGCGGCAGTGTGCGCAATTAAGCCGCTTTGAACGATAGAGGTGCGTGCGGGAGCTACACTCAAAAAAATAGTGAGTATACTTATTTCTTATATAGGACATGCCATACATAATTGATTTATTTGTCGGATAAATAAATAAGGTTTACGGTAAGGGAAATGCCTTTCAATGGTGTAAGTAGTTTTAATCACCTTTTTGAACTGAACTGAACAGAAGCTAAACCGCAACTTCTTGAGTTTTATTAACTTATTGAAGAATTTAATGAATTTAAATTTTGTTCCCATTCCTGTTTAGAAATTGTTAAAATTAATAACCATTTTTCTGAATCAATTTCCCGGTGTAGAAGTATCTGTATCTTTGGCTGGACCCCGAGCCAAGCCCAGTCTGGAAGCTAAGGCCTCGCTTATTTATGCATCATTAAGTCACGCCAATGGCTCGTTTGGGCCACTTTGGTTTATTTTGCGTATGCGTTTGTCCGGCCAGTTTTTCGGCTCAATTTCTGTTTCTACGACTGACACTCGACACCAGACAGAAGACAGGGGACAGAAGACAGCCGCTGCTGGCTGTGGGCCACCCACTTTTCTCGACAGATTTTCCAAAATATATGTGTGCAGCATCCCCCCCTCACCAACCAAAAAAAATAAAGAGAGAGATGAAGATAAAGATCGGGGCAAATTATTGTTGGGTCGGGAAGTGGGTCGCCTTCGATTGCGTTCACTTTTCCCGCGCGGCTTTACTTTTACTGTCAACCAAACGTGCCTCAAGTTGCAAGTTGCAAGTGGAAGTGGCCAGTTCAGTGACTCAAAGAGAGAGTGAGAGTCCCGCACCTGATTCTGTAATAAGAATCGCGATCGCGCGACCAGGCTGGCAAAAGTTTGTGAAAGTTGTTGTCAAACGGCTGGCCAAACCAAACCAAAACGAACCAAACCGCCTGTCAAGGAGCCGCGCATATCAGCCACATGATGTGCCGAGCCACCGAGTGGGTTCACTGAGAGAAACCTATTGTATCTTATGATGCATTTTTATTTGTATTGGTACACCGATGAAAATTATTTTGATCTATCATTTTAAGAATTCGAATTTGCGATGCAACAACTAATTTTATAATTACCAACATGAAAATGGGTCAAAAATTTGATCAACGCTAAAATAAAAAATTTGAATGCAGATTTTTATAGAATCAACCCAGAAGTCTTTAGAGGTATGCCACTTTTAGATCGGATTAAATTTGGTAAAGTTATGGACTCTGGAATTCCAATAGCGGGTCACCTTTTTACAAGACATCGGAAACTTAGAAATAACTAACATGAAAATGGGTCAACAATTTGATCAACGCTAAAATGAAAATTTTGAATGCAGATATTTAGATAATCAATTTAGAAGTCTTTAGAGGTATGCCACTTTGAGATCGGATTAAATTTGGTAAAGTTATGGACTCTGGAATTCCAATTGAGGGTAACCTTTTTACAAGACATCATAAACTTAGAAATAACTAATATGAAACTACTATAAGCCAACGATGAGGACGAGAAATCGGGCCTAAATGCATGACTGAAAAACTTTCAAATAAGTAAAATAATATTTAAGCCAACAACTGTGATAGTTGGCTAATTTTGTTATAGATAGAAGGTTTCTCCTGAGGTCATTGTTATTAGTGATGGAGAATAATCAACATTATTTATCTTTGCGCTGCGAAGAGTAACTGGTATTGCCCCCAAGTTTAAGAAGAGTGGGTAATTTGCCCCTCATCGAAGTGATGTCTACGTTGCCCATTCGGAATTTTAATTGCAGGTTGCAACCGCAATGCAATATAGACAAATTGAAGCGCTTTCCTCGAGGGCCTTATATAAGAACTCAATTCATAATGTACCCCTGATAATGCGGCATGAAATTGAATTATTTTCACGGAAGCTCGAGGTGAGAGATTTGAGCCGCGGATGCACCACAATGGAATGAATTAACAAGAAAGGAAAGCTAACTTCGGGCGGAGCCGAAGTTGATATACCCTTGCAGAATACTCTATAATTATATTCTCCAAAATTATTCCTATGATGCATTCTTAATACTCATAAAAAATCCAAACTTTCTAACTTTACAAACACCAAAGTTATGGCATTTCCAATCGTTCAGTTATATGGCAGCTATAGGATATAGTCGGCCGATCCATATGAAAATTGGTAGGTCGGATTAATTGGCCAAAAATAAAACCCATAGGAAATCCAAACTTTCTAACTTTACAAACACCAAAGTTATGGCATTTCCGATCAATCAGTTATATGGCAGCTATAGAATATAGTCGGCCGATCCTTATGAAATTTGGTAGGTCTGATTGATTGGCCAAATATAAAACCCATAGAAAACCCCAACTGCCTAGCTTTACAAACACCAAAGTTATGGCATTTCCGATCAATCAGATATATGGCAGCTATAGGATATAGTTGGCCGATCCTTATGAAATTTGGTAGGTCGGATTTATTGGCCAAATATAAAACCCATAGTAAATCCTAGCTTCCTAACTTTATAAACACCAAAGTTATGGCATTTCCGATCAATCAGTTATATGGCAGCTATAGGATATAGTCGGCCGATCCCGGCCGTTCCGACATATATACTGCGTGCAAAGGAAAGAAGGGTGTGTGCAAAGTTTCAATTCGATATCTTTAAAACTGAGAGACTAGTTCGCGTAGAAACAGACAGACGGACAGACAGACGGACAGACAGACGGACAGACAGACGGACAGACGGACAGACGGACAGACGGACAGACGGACATGGCTATATCAACTCAGGAGGTGATCCTGATCAAGAATATATATACTTTATAGGGTCGGAGATGCCTCCTTCACTGCGTTGCACACTTTTGACCAAAATTATAATACCCTCTGCAAGGGTATAAAAAGGGGGGCTTAATCAATTCAAAGGGCTGCCAGCAACGGAAATGGGCTTTGTATCTGTATCTTTGTATCTGACGATTGCAGTAATGTTTATCTGAGAGATTCGTGCACTTGGTGATGAGGTAATGAAATTCATGAGGATTACGAGTGCATCATGGGATGATCAGAAGCCAGACCATGGGATGTAGTCGAGTAATTTCTCCCCGGATTGACCAACTTCTCCTGTCCACCTCTATCTGGTCGTCATGGCTCAGAAATCGGGCCAAGCGATCAATCCTAACGATCAATCCAGTCGCTGAAAGTTGCAGTCATCCCGAGTCACTTAGGAGTCGAGTTTGCAGTTTCCAAGTGGATAGTTGTGGGTCTCATAATTACTCCGCTCAATATTTGTGTTAAAGTTTTACGATTATTGCCGCATTTTTCCAGCGAAAGAGAAATCGCCAATTGGCAGGATTGGCAGATGTCTCTGGCGGGGGAAAATGTCGCGTTTCGAGGCATAAACAGTTGCCTCAGAGACCTGACAAATAACGCAGTGAAAAGTGCGCAGGCGCACTCGAAATGAAATGGAAAAGCGAACAAGTAAAAAAAACCAAAAAAACAAACAGCAAATTGGCGACTTTTCGCACATGAACATGAAGTGTGGAGCGTCGAACAACAACCATTACCATTAACCATTAACCAACCGGCGACAATCCGATGTGTTTAGTAAATCAAACCGTTAATTACTTGATTTGGTAAGCGATTTCCCAATGCCTCTGTTTTCAGTCCCCCATTTAACAATTTCTCGCAAATATTTGCACACCTGTCTGCCGCTGCGTTGGCGAAAAGTGAAATGCGTTTGGAAAGAAAAAGGAAGATCTACGTTTCAGCTGGGACTACTCATTCCCCAGAGATCTTGGCGATGGTCCGCTCCATTGCCGGAGACCTTGACTTATTAACACCCAATCCTAGGTATTTTGGATTACCGCAGATAAGTACCCCAACTCCGCGGAGATGTACCAGTATTTTTATGACCATGTCGCAAGCTTAACGCCCTGTTAAGCCGGCTAAATGCAAATGCCGCACACAGACCTACCGCGAATAAATGGGCTCGATCCGTCCCCCTGTGTTTTGAATACCACTCACCTTTGTGGGAGCTCGTTAATTGCTCCGCTTTGGTTACAGTTTGTGGAGCGTCTTCCAATTGCGCGCAACACGTGAAGGTGGCGCAATTTTCGGGCCCTCGGAGCTCCGGCTTTTGGTCTACTTGCATGCAGATAGACCGTTTGGCCCGAGGCCGAATCTTTTGGCCAAGGCGCTGGCAATGGGCTCCAATCAGTTCCCGTCGATCTCGGCTCATTCTGGCTCATTTTCCCCACACACGGTAAACAATAATTATGATTTTTGCCAGATAAAATCCAATGATTTTTTTATTAAAAGTTGACTTACAATATTACTAAGCAAAACTTCAAGGGAAACTATTATGATCACACATGATTATGAGTAGAAATAAGGACTTAAAACCTTTTTGAAGACACTTTTTTAATCAGTGCTGTTTACCTGTTAAAATAAATTAAAAAGTTTTATTACAAAGCTCTAGAAAAATCAAAATATATTTCAATTTTCTTCGTTTTTGTGCAATTTAGATAATAATTATTAATTTGGTACTGCTTACCTATGTAAATACATCAGAAATGATCAATTTGCAAAGGGTAGGAGAATAAAATCAATTAGCAAATTAGCTATTTTTTACTGTGCATGGCAAGCGATGGGAGTGGAGTCAACACTTGCTCGCTTTTGTTTTTGAACCAACATTTTTCACCGTTTGCCGCCAGTGAAATTAATCCGCCCATGGCATAGGGTAATTAAGCTAATTAGCTGAGACTGGGCTGAAACCCGAAGTGCAGCCCACCCCAAAGATGCAAAACTGAAGCAGACAAGTTTCTAAGGCCTTTCCCACAGTTGCATCATCCAAAGTCATAAAATCACAGCCAACCGATTGGTGGTTCTTGGATTGGAACATTGGTTTTTGGGCCCAGCATCAGTAGAAAGCTCGTATCTTGTGCGATTTCCTCCCCAACTTGTTGCGGCCAAAACCGCACACACTAACCCAAATTCCCCAATCCCATGATGCGGAGTGCCCCCCGCAGTGTCGTCCATTATTGCAATTAAACTAACAATCGTAAATGGTAAATGGTAAAAGAGCAGCAGCTGCATCTGCACCGGGGGCTTGCACTTTCCGCTCGAAGCGGCGAACGCTTTAACTTGGCCAAAAACAAACAAACATCGGCCATTAGTTGGCTCAATTCAAATCGGCCGACGGGCGGCGGCAACAGCTGCCACTATCGCTGGTACACTTAAATCAGTAATATGCGGTACATGGTATTAAATTAAATAATATAAAATAATAAATAAAATTTATTGAAGGTTTTCTAATCTTATTGGAGTTATTGGTGTTTCTTTCTTTACCAGCTTGTTTTCCAATTTTCTATTAATCTATTAATTGTAATTGTACTTTATTTTAAGTTTGGCTGTGTTGTTAAGGTAATCTTCTAGAATTCAAGAAGAAAGAGGTTTCATAAACTGCAATTCTGGGCATATAAATTAACCATTGGTAACCAGATTTCCAAAGGGCATACTTATCATTCGCCAATTTATATTAAATGCTTAATCTTACTTTTTAAACTGATACATTAACAATGTATAACATTAATACCAAATGGAGGCCAACAAAATGTATTAAATTGCATAGATATTTATCCACTAATATAAAATTTATAAGTGTTATTGGTTTCTGTGTACTTCTTAACTTGTCCAAAATGCTTCTGCAGAGGAGTTAATCTCGATGGGGCTCTTTTGGACCTCTCAGCTGCCTTGATCTCCGCTTTTTGAGCCGACTTTGAGCTGAGCTCTCTCTCTCCGTCTCTCCCTGGGCTCTCTTTCGCTCCCGTTAGTAGTGGCTGATCGTACCGCTTTGGTCATGACATTCGTTCAGTTTCAGTCTGCTTTGGACTTTTACCGCGATCGGTCGTGTTCCGCTCCTCGCGATTTTCCATTGCCCAATTTTCGATTTTCCTCCGCTGGAGGCGCGTGCTCAAACGGTAAACTGTGTGAAGAATCGGGCCGCGAAGAGTGGTGAAGACGGGTGGAGAAGACTGACAGTTTCTTCGCGAAGTCGAGGAATTTCCCGTGGCATTTGCCACCCAAATGTTAGACGAGTTAATGAAGTGCAAAAATGTTTGTAGACGGAGTTGTTGCTGCTGCCAAATGAACACGAAGGCGCCGTCGACTTTGTGATTTGCGGTTGCATTCTACCAGATACAAGCTCAGGCTACAAGCTGAAAAGTACAATCTCAAGACCCCAGAAAGGCAGTCCGTAGTATTTGACCCTGTCGCTTTCGGCAGCAAAGTGAAAATTGCTCGGCAACCGAGGAAAACGGAGACTTCTGCGACTTCTTTGGTGTCAAGTGAGAAGACGACCTGGCGAATCTCCTGCGGATTAGTGGCACACTTACCCACAACCAGCACCGCTGAAAAGCATGTAAGTGGCACGAAAACATCTCAAACCCACTGTGTGGGGGTGTGAATGGAGTGGAGAATAGAGGCACCACCGCCAATAGAGTTGAACGCTCCTCGGATAGAAACATTACAAGAAATCTTCACGTATTTAGTGGGAAGCGAAGCGCATTACTAACTTTCCTCAATCGGTTGAGCAGCATAACTGAATGTGATTAAAGAAGAAGTTAACGAGGGGCTATCTTTAATCAGATGCGGGTTTTATGATTATTGGAGGTGGATAGCTCTCATTAATTGTTTCAATTGTTTTATTTAATGCAGATAATTACTATCACATTCTGTTTGGCAAATTATTACATTTTTTGGTATTGATTGGTAGCTAAAATACAATATTTTCTTCTTTTTTATTAAAAACATAAACCAACAAATAAAATGCAGATTTGAATTTACATTAATTATACTTAACAAGTTTGCAAGTGCGCTTGTGTTGAAATTGAATTTACACTTCGTTTAAATTAGTTCAGATTAGTTTCATTACTTTCTAAGATAATTGCAATTAAAACAATAAATGCAAATCTTCCAATTTTATTGAGCAGTAAAAAGTAAGAGAGATTAATAGGTTTGGCCACACCCATACGGACATAAGTAAATATCTTAATAACCATAATTAGAAGCATAGTCTGCCATGCGAACGGTGAGCCTTATTAATTTTCTCTTCTAAGCTCTTAATGATTTCCTAAAATTCCCACTTCAAGCCATAAACTCATGTTGATACTCCCAAATAAAAATGACAGTCTTTAATAATGTGATACTGCAGCGAGTGAGAATCTGCGCATAATGAGATACTTTCTTCAAATCGGATGCTTAGTCCCTCATTATGGCTGCTTAGTCAAGGGCTGGTCCGTGCTAATTTATGCAGATTTAGAGGCTCGTTTCACCGCCAGCAGAGAGAGGGAAGATCTTTCCCAGAAACAGAGACTGTGGCAGGCGACGCCAATTAGCGAGCCAACTTGCAACTTGGCCATAAAACTCGCCTCTGTTCCTATTCTAATTGAATGAATGGAATTAACCCAGTTTCGGCCCCTCGACTTGTTCCCACCTTAATTGAGGTGCTGGCCAAGAGGCAGTCTGAAAAAGTTAATACGAATTAGATTGTTGGGGAAGCTGTCAAACTTTGATGGGTCTGACTTCAGACCAACAAAACTCTTAACTAGGTGAGCTGTAGTTCGGGGGCCAAGCCGCAGGGGACTTTTGTTTTAGCCCCGGACTATTTATGCTTTATGATGGAATCAATCAGTATAAGAGAATATAGACATGCTAATTTTCAGCCGATCTAGACACATGGGAACTGAATGAGGGCCGTTCTTCCCTTTGTGGAATAATAGGTGCGAGTAACAGTTAGCGATCGTTCCACAAACAAGTTTCTTTTTTCGCCATGCAGAACATTGTGCGTTTGTCTTACGACAATAAATTCGCTCCGCTTTTTGTCTGCTCCCCGGATTTTGAGGTCAACTTGATTGGGTCGCTCTCTTTGATTAACGACTAGCGGACTGGACTGGACTGGAGTGGACTATGGACTGTGGACTGTCTGTCCGCGCTTCGTGCCCTTTTTTTGGCAGTTCCCGTCTGGCGGCTAATTGCCACAGGTACAGGTGTCTGATGGATCCCCAGCATGCCACAGATAGTTGATCGCCATCAAATCTTAATGGCAGCATCACGCCAACTGTAGCTCCAAGCTCCAACTTCATTGCGAGATCGTTATGGATACCATTATGACAAAGCCACCAATCGGGGAAGCCATGAAAAAGAAATGGGACCTGTGGAGCCTGGGGAATACACTAGGCAATACTCAGTATTTACTTTGTAATGTGGGGCATTTTCTTTCAGTTTATATAATATTTTATTGATTTTGTATTTGACCTTGGGTTTTGAGATAGACAGATGCCTTTAAGCAAACAAAACAAAAATTGTTTTCCCATAATAAAAATACTAGCTGGTAGAGTTTTTAAAAATTAAGGTAAATCTTTAATAACAGCGGCTTAAAAAGTTTCTTAGATCCAAGTCTCTGAAGTAATAAATTTCTTCTTACTTAAACCTACTTGAGATTTTCATAAAAATACCTATCATAATCCATCTCAAAAGGGGTAACAAAATGTGGCGAAATGAAAACCCTTCTCGATTGCATGCAGAGCATGAGGTCGGGGCAATTAGAAGTTTGTTGGCCTGCGAAACTATCAGAGCCAGCAACTTCATAACGAATTGTTGTAATAACAATAATGGCGAGCCCAGGGAGTTATGTTTGCCTTTTGGCCGGCACAGCAAATCATTTCACATCGCCACATTTCTATTTTCGCTGGGTTCATTAAACCAACTGAGACCCGGAGTGTAACTAAAAGCCGCAACCAAAGATACAGATATAGATACAGATGGAGATGGTGGATGGTGGATGGTGGATGGTAGATAGAATGAGTGGGGTTCTCGAGTTGTGGCGACAAGTTTGGCTTCCGTTCTCAGCCCGCTCATTTGTCACTAGCTTACATAACACACAACACACTGTGGACCCAACGAAGCGCATCCCGAGTGTCATGGCCACATTTCTATGGCTTTCCCAGCTCCGCACGATGGAATCTTTCAATTTGTCGCCCGTGTAGTCATAATTGTCTGGTAATCCCGGGGCCCTTTCTTTGTGTCCGTCATGTCTGGATTCTCGCTACATGATCTCAGCGAAATGCGGTAACTTTTGTTTATCTCCCGTATTTCGCACACTGCATTTGGTGAGAAGTTGAGATTGCAGATCAACAGATGATCCTGCACGCTATTTTGGCAACACGTACGCAGTTCGGAAAACCCGCTATGCCAGGTGATATGATTTGTTTCCCACAGTGCCACGCCCTCGTGTGGAACATTCTTTTGTGGCCGAAACAGACACACCTTCTTCGCCAGCTGGTAACGGAAAGTATTGCCAAAGCGCACTTACAGGGCCTTCAATTAAGGCGTCTACCTGTCCGTTAAGCCGGTTCAGTCCGCTAATGCACGACGTCTGGTCTGACCTTTCCGAGGTGGGTCACTGTCACCTCCATCTCCAAGACGGCTTTTAGCTGGAATAACTACTCGAACGAGGAGTACGACCAGTGCCAGCCACTTCAAAAACATTATTCTTAAAAGTTTACAATTTAAAACCATTTTGAATATACTGAAAAATAAGATATCATTTGCTTACTCTAGAGTTTTCCGAACACTTAGATGTATTTCATAAGCTCTGTTATAAAACTGGTTGAAATGCTGAGCCCATGTCGATAGTTTTGAAATAGGGTCCACTGATAATTGCCTTCCATTTATATAATCTTTAAAAAACCTAAATTTAAAATATTTAAATGCCTTTTATCCATTTGAAAAAAATTAAATAAAATAATCAAATAATACCACTTTTTTCCCTGTTTTAACAATTCTTGAAAGTAAAGTTTTTCCCTGTGTAAACATATGATATCCACTTACCTAACCGCTTTGGATGGCTGCTTTTCCGGACTTTTCGGCTTGTTGGTAAACATTTAATGTTTTCTTCTGCTCAATTCCCGGGAAGGCAAACATGGTCAGGTATTTTCGGTTCGGGTTGGTTGCCCCAGTGTCCGATTCCCTGCTGATCCAACTAAGTACTCAGTTTTTAGAAAATGCGGAGAGAATGGAAGCCAATAACCCAGCTGCAGGTGCCCAAGGTTCTAACTCTTCGTATGTTTGTTTATTTATTAGCCCCACCTAACAGTGTATTACCCACTCCAAAACTAAAATTTCAATTAAATGCATTTGGTGTGGGGGTTAAAAGGCATTTTCCTAGGCACCTGGGAAATAGCTGGCATACGAGATATGGCCTCAAGGAAAGTTGCCTTTGTGCGGGGGCCTAAACATTTTCCTAGTTGTCATAGTTGAGGTGGAAACTCCCACAACTAACTGACAACTCTGGCGATTGTATTTTAGAGTCTGGTTATGCGTGGAGCCCTAACTTATGATAAATTATGTTGGCTGGTGTTGTTGCACCGGTGAAAGTGCCAATTGTTTTGTGCGCGAATTCTTGTTCAAGAGATTTCCTATTCGTTATTAATTGTGGCATTGTGTCTGCCCATTTTTCAGAGCCCTCCCTCGAAGTTCGCCATCCAGACACCAAACGCATCGTCATGGAACCCACGCCCAATATGCTGTAAGCAGTCCCACTGAACTTGCATCTGCATCTCTCAGACTTCGCATCCGCATCTGCATCTCACTGACTTCGCATCTGCATCTGTACAAAGCCATTCCATTAACCCACAACCGAGTAGCCCGAGTAATCCGAGTAATCTTCAACGCCTCCAGGAAGCAGCTGCTGCTGAAGAATCACCAGGACGCCATTCTCCAGCTCCAGGGGAATTCTCCATCGCCTCCTCTGTCTTTCTGCGCCGCTTCGATGGCGGATAGCAGGGAACGGATTCGCGGACCCTCGAGGGATGGTCGGGAGTTCCTGACCAGTCCCAGGCAGGTCCTACGCCGACTGATGCTGCTCTCCGAGGGCAGACAGTACAGGGAAGCTGCCGGGGTGGTGGGCAGATTGGGCCCCTCAGTTCTGAGATCAGTCATTGCCGAACTCCCTCTGGATCTACTGCTGGAGCACCTTCCTCACAGTGCCTACCTGCTGGAGTCATTCTTTACCAGGTGAGTTTCAAAAACATCCATTAATTATACATAAATATTTATTCATTATTATTATAATAATATTACATTGTTCGAAGGAAAAATGTACATATCACAACCGAACTTCCTCAGCTCGAAGTTCCCACTCTCGAAATCTCAGTCAAGCAATGTAGTTTAGGCATTAAAGAGTATAAACATTGTTATATTGTTTATGGAACTGCAGTTTCAGTTTTGGAACTTCGACTATACTGGTTGTTTTTTTATGAATATACTAGACGATTTCTGTATTATTCCCCCAGATTAACCACCTTGAACACCACTCCAAAGCCCGAAGTGCCCAGTGAGACGGTGGCCTGGCAATTGGTGCGTCTGTTTGCCAATCCCCACGAATCAGGACTGCGGCAAAGATGCACTCGACTCCTGCAGGCTTTGGCTCAGTATGAACCTGCTCTCCGACAAACTGTGAGGGAAAGGAGGCGCAGCTTCGATAATGCTGTCCAGGGACTCGGAGTCCATGGACTGACCACCGATGCCTCCGGTCAGCTCATCTCACTGCATGTGGCCCTAAAAACAGAGCTACAACGCCATGTGGACACCTATAAGATGGCCATTCACAAGCTGGAGGAGCTGAGCATGGTCACGGTGAACCAGGATCCTGCCCACTCCTCCCACCAACGTCTGTTGGCCATCAATTACGGGGACATTCAGCAGCGACTGATCGACAATAAGACCCTGCTCACCATGCTGGACAAGCCGGCTCTGAAGCAGCTGCAAACGCTGGTGGAGAATCTCAGCACACGGGTGGAGAACGACAAGGAAGTGCTGACTTGTGTGGGTCAGGTGCGTCGTCTGGATTCGCAGGCCCTCGTGGAGAAGCGTCCTGCCGCCGGCCTCCTGATGAACTTCTCCCGCGGTTGCGAGGTGGTGCTCCACATGATGGGTCCCGAGGGAGGTCCTCCGGGATCCTCGCTCTCCATGGGCAAGGCCACGACTCCCGGCGGAGCCAGTACGAGCAGCTGCAGCGATGGCTACCACTCGGATGACTCCGGCAGCGATGACGGCAGGTGAGCATATAAAATATCATAAGTATTAAAAGGCGGAATTAGTCTGTTTAAATCTATGGCCTTCGATAAGGTCAAATTTTAAAGTGACTTTTGTTTTTCAACAAAAATATAAGTAATATTTAATAAAGGAACCAATTCTTAGTACATAGTGCTGGAATATTTTAACCGTGTTATTGTACCCGATTCCATCACTTGACCCAGTTCCAATAAGGTGTAACACCCACATTACAATCGCAGTCAAATCAGATCGAGACCGCATCCAACTCTCACTTGCCCACATAGCATACCACACCATCCCATACTGTCGCTCATCTCCCATTTCTATTTCTATTTCCACTTTTGTTTCTCCACAGCGAAATGGTGTCGCTCTATCGGAATCTCTACGTCGAGAACCGAGCGGATGCCTTGGAGGCGTTGGACAGTCTTCCCCAGATAAAACACGCGCACAGCCTCAAGGGGAAGATACTCTTCTCCATGATCGTGGTGAGTCTGGAGTGCCCACTTGCTTTGGGATGGGTTGCAGATTGCCGCTGGAAGATATGGTCGAGCATTCAATAATGGCTTGTTAAAGGGGCCCGAAAATTAGTGCCAATTGCGGCTCAAACAATGTTTTCACTTTTTTTTGGGGAACATAACAACTTTTCCTATTGGGTGTGTCTCAAATTTTATTAACCTTTAGATATGTTGGTACTTTGATTTGCTTCTAAGCCTTTAGCTGATAAAAAAACCGGAAAAATAATTAAAAAATAAGGCAAGCGGAGAAATTTTTGCCAATTACATAGTCAATCACTCACTTGTCGATGGAATATAAATCGCTAGCAACAGATTTTTGCCTTTGTAATTATCCCCCCGTTTTCACTTGTCAAGACAACGCTGAGTTTTTTGTGATGAATGGAGTCAATTTGTTATGGGCGTTCATAATCTGTTTAAGTGCCAATTTCAAGTCAATAACATTTTAACTTATCAAAGGCATAGAGATATTTTTCTTTAAATTTCTTTAAGCTATTGAATTTGAAGAAGCGCCCAAGCATATAAAAAGTAAGAACGATTGTTTTAAATATAGGGCGATCGCTTTCTAATTGTCATTCAGTAAGTCAATAGCTGTCAAAAAGTCAATAATAAATAATGAATCTCTAAACTTCCCTTATGCAAATTAATTCCAAGAATGCTCATTTAGACGGTGCCATTTAATAAACAATAGATAAATAATGTTATTGTTATGAACTGCTTTTTAAACTAGCCAAACGGATTCACTGCTTACACTGCTTGTTTATATTTTAGGCTCAATGCCTTTCAAACTGTAAGACCAAAGCCGTTAACGAAGATTACTTTCAATTTTCAAGTGCTTGGCCATCAATTACTTAGACCCCTGGGCTTTAATGCTTCAGATCCTGTCAGACCGCAAATTGCGATTGCAAAATATCAATTTGTCCAGATCGAAATCGCGTTTGAGGATGATTAGCCGTTGTGGCAGTGAAAATGTGAGGGAAAGTGGAGCCCCCGGGGTGACAGAAATTACGTAGGCGCTGGGAATCAAACCTGTACTAATCGAATCACTTTCGATCGAAGATGAATGACACTTTCCCAGGGAAAATCATTATCTACAACAAGATCGACACTAAATGAAAAGTCAAATTGGAAATTTAGCATTGTATTTTGATCTTAGTATGCATTTCCAATTTACAGAAACTTTTGTTAAGGCATTTCTGTGGTTTTCCAACTTTTTGTCAGTAATACAAAGTCGACCTTAGAGCACAGCATTGGTTTATTAAATGGGTCAGTTAAGTACCTTATCCAAATTGAAATATAATGTTTAAATGTATTACAGTGGAATTTATTTAAGTAAGTCAGGAATTTATTCTTCATATTAGGTTCAAATATTTTTTAGCTGATTTAGTTTCATTTTATTTGTTTATTTACATTTACAATATTTTTCGTGGACAGCTCTCCTTCCGCTTGTGCCACGGAATGCGGGAACGGAAGGTCCTGGAAGTCCGGCGCATACTGAACTCCCCATTGGACAGCAGCAGCGAGACTACTTTATCCCTGGACAGATCTGTTCGTCAGCATCTTTTTGAGACCGCCGATAATTTTCCTTTGGGCGAGATCGAGCGGTCGGTCTTCAACCAGGTGCTCTCCACCTTGCACGAGTATCCCTGCCTGGAGTCCTGCCCCCCATTAACGCACTACGTGAGTGCCTGTGTTCGTCTGGCCTGGAGGATGATTAACCAAAAGTCACCCTATTACCTGGACATGGACTTTAATCTGGGTGGGTTTTTTAATTCTCTCTAATCGATTTACAATCTTACATTTAAATTCTATCCAATGTAGGCTTTTTGCGGCCCGAGAAACACGAACGGCATCCACAAGCAGATCGGCGTTCGGATCTAATAAAAGCCTTCCTTTGGCCCGCCTTAATGCAGAACAACCAGTGCGTCTTCAAGGCGGTGGTGGCCACCTGAGGATCGTCTTAAGCTAACCCCATTTGTACATATGCAACCCCTCTCTTATGGAATAAAGATTTACCCCGTAGCTAAGCGTAACTGATGGGTCGGAGCTGGACGCACTGGCTCCGGACCTTGTTGGTGCAGAGAAGGGGGTGCGTTGAGTAGAACTCCACAATCTCCGAGGGGGATCCGAAGCAGCGCTCCCGAGACTTCTGCTGACCGATGGCATAACGCTGCCTCCTGTCCACTTGCCGCACAAACAGATGATAGAACTGATCTGCTGCCCAGATGCTCACTATGTAGCGGATGCACTGGTCGGCTGCCTTGAAAGGACGAACCAGGCAGGAGCCATCCTCCCTTCCATAAAGCATGCGTTCCGCCGTAGGTCGATCCACGGTGAAGTAGTACTGCTCCTTTTCCACGTGCCGCTCTTCGATCTCCACGTAGTTGGCATCGGCATCCTCTTTAATTACATTTTATTTAGATTTTTGATTATTTGTTTACCAACACAGTGCAAGAGGCATAAGCTTTATAATTTGAATTTTATAAGAACAATTGCATCTTTAGTTTTTCTCTAACATGCGGTATTTGCCAGATCACGAATAAAACTTTATATTACATGATTCAAAATATCTTAAAGAGCGTGTGTATAAAAATAATAACATTAGTTTAGTTTGCTTTTAATTTTATATTCATATTATATTATATTTTATATTCATCATAAAATTAACCAGACAGTTCAACATGTTTCTAGAAAATCACTGTTATCTATTGTAATTTCAGCAATCAGAATAACTTAACATTTTTAATAGATAACTATATTAATTTACACCGCTTTAGATCTAGCCATTCGTTTCTTGTTGACTGTTTGTGTTTATATTTTTGCATTGTGTGGATTTAGTTTTGTTTTGGAACTGAGAGATCGTCGAGAACTCACCCACAATGACGTAATCTCGGTGGGGCTGCTGATGTGGATCGTCATCGGTGCTGGAAACCCGTTCGGCGACTTCGACGTCACCATCTTCACTACTCTGCTGCCTCTGATAACCGAAACAGCAGCCACAACAGATGGGTGATCTTAGCTCCCTCAGGTTGTCCAGCAGGCGGACCAGAAGATTGTGCAGAACCGTCCAGTAGACACGTGGACAGGCACACCAACAGCACATGGCGCCTAAATGTCGAGGCGACTTATCCCCGCGACCTTGACTTGGATGGATTGGGACCGATGGAATCGCCACTCCCGGCGCACATCTTTTGCGCTACGCGGAGGACTGAATACTGAGTAACCAGAACTAGACATGGATCCACGACCAGAACACAGAACCCAGAACTCAGAACCCGAAACTGGAACTGAACAGAAGCCGAAGCAAACCCGGCTCGTCTGGCGCTGCGTCTTAATTAAAATGTGTTTAATGCGCGCTTGTGGGGCAGCAAATACCCATATGTAAATAAGATATGGATATGGCTGGTAAACAAAATTCACATTCCAAAGGGGTGGGGATAGTAAGTCGATACTTTAAGTGCTGGGGAGTGCAACCAGTGCAGATCGTTCCCATACAGGATGAGAAATTTGTGACGATTTGTAAGCTTTAAAAATGATTTGGAATGATTTTAATCTAAACATCAAATAACTACTTGATAATTTTGTTTAATTTGTTTAATATTTTAATATCGTATATTCGTATATTTTATTTTATGCTTTGATACATCTTATGTACAACAAACATTTGTTTGAACCATACATAAAAACTTTACATTTTAAAGGTATAATCTGTTGATTTTATTATTAAATCAATTTGTAATTTACAGTGTACTTGCAGAGACAATTAATAAACGTTTTGCACTCATGAATTTCTCTTCCCCTTAATTCTTCTACCGATCTTCTGCTTGACTGCGGAATTCATTGAGTGGGGCTGCAATTTTCGGCGGGAAAGGGGTTAGTTCCCCATATCGCATTTCGGTTGACACTACATAACAGAGACCAAATGGAGCCGAGTGGCCAACATACATATGCTTTTGAGCTGCAATAATAGTGCATACATTTTAGTAAAGATATTTTTTGCTGAACAAAATTGATTGCTGACAGTACTAGCGCAAAAATACTCAAAAAACCAACAAATTGGACCAAGAAAATGGGAAAATGAACTCGTAATCCCCAGCTAACTAGAATTAAAGCTAAACATTTTGGTTTTGGCCATATTATTGCAAGAAATGACGAGGTTACCCTTTATATAAAATTCAAAAACAGGTGAAAAAATATTTTTTTCGGAAAGTAATAGGTATTAATAGTTTGGGTCCTTAGCTGCACAAAACAGTATGTGGTTGTTGGCCCCAATTTGGCCAAGATGTGTCAAAACTAACCTGAAAATATCGTGTTTCAGATAAAATAATGGGACAAATACTAACTTAAGAACACTAAGCCAAAAAATCCGAAATAAATAAATAAATTCAAGTTCACTAAAGTTTAAATTAAAATCACAATCAAAGCTATGTATATTTCTTAGTTGGCCAGCTAAGACACGAACCTTGAAAAGTTTGTCACAAGCTTACACCACACAACAAAAATAGGGAAAGGCTGCTGTGGTAAAGCTCTGTCGCTGTCCCTTTCCCCCCGAGCACTCACTTTCTCCCTCGCACGCTTTTGAAATTTTTAAAAATTCAAAAGCAATTAAAGTGCGGCCGTAAATTGTACAAGTTGACGTCGTTCCGAATCGATTGCAGGCTAATCTGCTTCTAAAACCCAAGATGGGCGTGCAAATGGCCAACACGTGGAAATATAGATGGCTCAAAAATCCTACAGATGCCACAAATCCGGCCGAAAAGTGCTGCTCACTTTATTACGTATACGCCGGATGGGCTGCAGCGAGCATCGCAATTTTGTTTGCACATTTAAAGCAGTGACTAGTCGACCACTCGACAGTAGGCAAACATCTCTGCAGGCCGGTCACGTGCGCCAAATGTCAATAAAACGATATTCCCAGTCGATGGTTGGGCATGGAGGCATTAATAACAATACTCAAACAATACGATCGCACTCCGCGGAACAGTGGCAGCCGTAACATCGGGCAATTAATATGCGGCAAACAATTTTGATGAACTGCTAACAAGTCGATGGATCCGGCGGTTTTATGGGGGCTTCTATACGGGCACTGAGATGGCAGCCCATAAAGCAACAAAATGGCACAAATTGATTTTGGCCAAACGATTATTTCGGGGGTTGCGTGCTCTTCGGCACATCCGCCTCGAAGGCCTCCCCAAACACCTCCATCCCCCCCGCGGATGCTAAGGATCAACCAGCTGGGCCATCAATTTAAATGAGTCGATTGATTGAGAGACCCGTCAATTCTTGCGGCCACTCAAATTTATTAGTTAGTCCAAGGAAGTACATATTGCCCATTGCGGTTAACGTCTCAATTATATGTGTGTGCCCCTGAAATATTTACAGAAATAGAGCGAAATCTCGGCGGCGACAGCCACAAGTCATAAGCTATAAAGAATAAGAGCCAGCATATTTTATTTACGATTATATCCGGACGGAGTGCAAGCCGTAGAACTGCAACTCACCACACTTTTCCCAGCGCTCAACAGGCGTCCGTGGTGGGGCGGTACGAGGTTCGGGGGCCTGTCCCCACTTACATTTACCCGAAGGCCCCGCAAGTCGCACCCGATTGCGATTCCCATTCCGATTCCCATTCCCATTCCGATTCCGACCCGAATCCGAACCGCTTCAGTTTTAGTCCGTGCGAAGCGTTCGCGCATTTTGCCGTCGAGCGTTGGCCAGCGCGGTGGATATTTCGCATATCCGCTTATCAAATCCGCAGAATCGTCAGTATCGGAACGGTATCGAGTTTTGAATTTCGACTTGCCATAAAAAGAGAAGAATTAATAAACAAATCCAGTGTGCGTGCCAGTGTTTGTGTGCTTTGTCTCAATGAAATGCCAAACTAAATAAGCTTGGAAAAGTTTTCCATCCAGTTTTTATGGCAACCAGCGGAGCCCAAAAAAGTGTCAATTGAATTAGCGTCTCGGAGGCCAGAAAATAAAGAGCAAAAGAGAGATTGTTAAGGCGCAACAGGTGATTGGATCGCAGACCAAAAAATCTTTAGTGGTGTTGCCTTTAAAACAAAAACCACCTGTGGCTCCTCCTTAAATTTGTAGCGACACCCCCCAACGATCCTCTTTGGATTCCAGGTAACTACACTATTTGCTTAAGCAGTTTATACAAATTTATGTTTGCGGCTAATGTCAATAAATGAGAAAGCAACATATGTTAGACCCCACAAAACAAAAAAATCGATAAAATTCGGACACAGCATTAATGTTTATGCTAACCGCAAAGGCAACTAAATATTTGCCTTTGGCAGCGGGGAAAGTCTTCACCTGTTGCGCGTATCGAGTGTCCTGTTGATTGGCTAATTGATAACATCCAGTTCCGGCCATCATCCATCAGCCATATATCCATCCATCCATTCATCCATATCCATCCATATCTCTATCCATGCATTTATCCGTGTATAAATCCACCCTTGACCCTGCCAGCGGGCAGCACATTAAATCATCCCGAACAAACAAATTAGCGCAATGAGTGCATCAATAAACAAAGTTCACCTGTTGCCCCCTGTTGTCCCAAAAGACATCTGCACTTGTAGTTTACATTTAGAGATACATCTTGTATCTTTTGGTCCGCAGCCTCTGACTTACGGCGGATTTTTTGGAATTGCGCTCGATGGGAAACAAAGCGAAATAAAGCGAAATGAACCGAACCGGGCGAGTGAACATCAAAAGCGCTTTATCGCAACGGGTTGGATAGCTATAGCTATAGTTGGTGGTAGGGGGGGCGGTTGTATCTATCTATCTATCAGATGCACACGGCGCTTGTAACCGCAATTCGCATGGTGTCCCCTGTACCCCGTTCCCCTTGCCCCGTCCACGGTCCTTCGACCGCCTCAAGTCGCCAGTGCTCTTGATTGCGCCTTTGTGTATAAATTAATTAAATTAAAAGTTTCCGGTTAAGCCTCCAAACGCCGACAAACGCGCGCATTCGGACGCAATTGCATTCGAAATTGCAGAAGACCCGACCTGATGCACTTGGAGTTGCCACTTGGAGGAGCAGCTGATAATCGCACCCTACTTTTTGGTCTGATAAAAATTAAATAAAACAAACCCAGACGATGCGAATGTTTAGTGCATGAATATGCGCCGATTAAGTCAACAAGTTCGGGGGGCTTTCCCTAATTCAACATCGAGTGTTTGATTGCAATGGTGTCCTCTTATCACAAACTTAAGCTGGTCCAATGAACTGCGCCTCTAAACAGATACACGCAAAAAATTACAAAATGAAGTGATACCACTCTGATGAGGACATGAAAATACAATGTAACATATATCTTGGCATATACATAGGCTTGACCCTCAAATATAAAAATATGTTTATGTTGAAAATACTGATGTCACATCTTTAAACTGTATCTCTTTACATATGCAAGCAATTAAAAGGGATATGTAGTTGCTCTGATAAAGAGATAGTTATAGGAAAATTACTAGGAATAAAAATTAGATTATAAAGAATGATTACATTAAATAGCGTTACCCAGAGTGTGTCATGTCCCTTTTTATTACTCATTCCAAATTTATTTTTAAATAAATAATTGTTTTCCTATCAATAAAGCGCACATAATAACAAATGTTATAAACAAATCATATGGTGTTTCTTCAATAACATTTCAAATCAAGGGCGCATTATCATTTTGACTTAGAATATATGCTTGATCAACTGACTAATTCAAGCCACTGGGATTCAAAATTTATTTATTTTTCTGATTCAAAATTTCGCAGAATCCCGATTAACTTTAGCATATATTTTTCTGTGTAACTAAATGGCTATTTCAAGCACGTTTCGGAGGCCCAAGGCTCCCCGTAGCTCTCTCATTTGGCTGGCAATCCTTTCCCTGCGAAAACCCTTCGCCCCGCTGGGAAACGTGTGCAGTGAGTGAAGATTCATTAGGCTCCTCCTGACACCGCCTGGCACCCCGTTTTCGGCTGTGTCCCTCCCAATTGCTTCTATAAATATTCCCGTAGACACATCAACAACCTCCGGACTAAAACGTCAGCACTTGCCAAAATTCAAAGCGCGACGCAGGCGATTTCCAAACTGCTCACTGTTGTGGCAAAGTCAACAGCTTGGCCAAATCTGATTTCGATTCGATTATACGAATTTAAAGTAAGTCACGCAGCGGTTTTAGCAGTTCCCCCGGCCCTAAAATCGGGGGATTGGGGGGAACATATACATAAGTGGGTTGCTGTTGGGAATTAGCATCTAATTAGAAGATAATCGCGCGTTAATTCCCTGTGTAAACTGCCCGCGAAAAGATGGCCCAAAAGTGTCGCAGATTTACGGTGCTTCGGCCACGCCCTTACCCTGTAATGACCCCCTTGGCCCCCCCCAATTTGAGTGTCCTTGAGTGCCTGCAGTTAATGTGCAGTCGACCTTCACGCCAACTAAAGACCAATTGTCAATATTTTGACAGCCACCCCCCATCAAAAGTTACGAGGGGTGGGTCCGATGATGAATATGTTGGCGACATATTGCAAATCCCAGTGGATGAGTTCGACCCACGTGTGTAATGTGTGGGTGGGGGCGGTGGTCATGTGTGCGGGTGTGGGGGTGGGCGTGGCTCACCTAATGTTGACATCACTTGCCCATTTAATGGCAGCCTTTATGGCTGCCTTTACAACCTGATGATAAAGCGCAAGAGCGAAGTGAACCCAACTGAACCGGAGAAAAGTGAGGCGCCCTTGAGTGGACTCCAATTGATGGCCAATTTAGCACGGCTTTTGGAGCCCGTACTCTGTGCAGACAGAAAAACAGGTTCTTGATGAAAATACCAATTTATTTGGGATCTCGAGACTAGAAAATGATCACATGATTTTGTTTATATCTAACACAACAGTTTTATTAGCAAAAAATGTTTATTAAATAATACTTCCCAACAATATTTTTTGTTATTATATTTAAATTAGTACTTTCTGTACTAATACTCAATATCCACAATCTGTTTATATCAAAAGACCCTTTAAACTTAAATTTATATTTAGATTATAAGACAATTTCACCTAAAAATAACCAAATTATATTCTACCATCACAAAAGTTTTGTAAATGACCACTTTACTAAAATATTTGTTCGCTGTGTGAACATTTATATTGGATACCCCACTCCCTCTTCCTTCCATCCGGCAATCGCCATCGCATTGTCCTCGATTGTTACCCAGTCACATGGTCGTACCCCTTCAATTACATTTATCCTGCCTTGAATTGATGGTGAATCCAACAGCAACAGTTGTTGGAGCGGGAAAAGCAAAAGAAGACAACTCCCCGGGTGAATGAAACATATTCCGATGGCATTAAATTTGCATTGATCAGGGATAGAGCCCAACTAGTCCTTTGGAGCGAATAAACTTTCATAGTGCAGATGCAGCTTCTTTGGCGTGGATTAGTTCACTCAACTGATGCCCCGCATGAGGCCATTACCAATGGGGAAGGGGAAGGGGGGATCAAAGTGGATTGCCCCCAGTGTATTTCAACCAACCACCCACCACTAGCAATCGTCGCCTGCCCGAGAAATGAGAAATTATTATATTTGAAAATTTTACATAATACCAAAATAGAACCGAGCATCGTGGCATGATTCAGGGCCAGCACGTGATGGGAAATAATTGGGGAGGGGGGAGGGGGTTGAGATAGAGGAGCTGAGGTGGCACCCAATGGACTGTGCGAATGGCGGAATACCAGTCGAAAGTCGCCATGAAATGCACATTAGTTGCGGCTCTGATTCGGATTCATGTTCGGGTTCAGTCAGCTGGTCATTTATGGCATTTGTCTGCCTGCATAATTAACAAGTTGAGGCTTCGCTGGCTTTGCATTAATTATGCTAGAATTAAATCGGCATAACAGTCATCTGGGCAAATGTTGCAAGTGATAATTCCCCCTTTTGGCACCCATAAGCCCTTTGGATACCGGCACATCTTTTGTTGACTTATGCCATTAGACTCCCAGCCAGAAAGTCTGCCTCTAATTGATGACTCACCGTGATCAATTTAATGCTGGCTTCAACCAGTATTGAATTTGTTTTCATATTTATATGTTTTCAAGCACAGTGCATACATTTAGATAAATTGACGCAACAAAATGCTTACTTTTTTAGGGATCGTAAAACTGTTTATTTGTTTTTCTTTATGTGAAATATTTATTAAATTATTCAAAAGAATACCAATAACTATTGTAGCAGCTAAAATTCTTTTTATACACATCCAAATCTACACCCTTTTAAAATATAAATTATTATACGAATTGAACTTATTATCTTAATTTTGTAATTTACTTTAGCACGTTTATTTTTAAAATGACGGGCAATATATCTTGCACATTACTGAAAATAATGCAGCATTATGAAATATGTAAATAAACTTTAAAATGTACGACATTTTTTTCGTTCTTTAAAGTTTTAAAATATCTTTTGAATTTACCTATTGAATTCAAAACTTGGACCTTAAAACTATTTAAGTTCAATATGTTTGTTAACATTTCGAATCCGAATTCATTGCAATATTTAACGGTGATTGAGACACTCGAAAGGTCTAGAGGCAGCTCCAATACATTTCACCAGCCATCTATATCCCATTAAAGCTCTTGATCACACTCGCATCCGGTCGTTTTTTCTGTGTGGTCCACGTCGGCACGCGACTATCCTTTCTGGCGATGTCGCAGCCCACCCAAAACGGTTGAAAACAAATCAGAATGTAATAAATTTTTATAACTGCGCATCCCTAAACGACAATAGTCGACAATTTTCGTTGTCAATGCCGTTTTGGGTTCGGTTCGATAGACAGAAAATCAGAGATCGTTTAAATGCAAACGCCGCTGGCATTAAAAAGTATTTTAATGGCCAGCGGGGATGCGAAGTGGGTGATCCAGCACGCAGGCTGCATTAATTTACTTGCAACTTTGTGGAATCGCGGACAATGCGAATCACATCCGCCGGAAATGGGCAACTTCTGTTGGGGGCGGCTAAGCCAACTTGGAGTTGCTGGCGGCCAAGTTATTAAGTTTCAACTAAGTGCGACTATAGTATACAAAGTTGGCCAAGTTCCTCTTTCAGGCGGAGGGATAATGGATGGGCCCCGATGGTCACG